GGGTGGGGGCCGCGGGCGGGGGAAGGGCCACTGTGAGCGAAGCGGAGCAGTGGCGTCTGGGACCCCTGTTTTTCCCCCCCTGCTCAGCACCCTTCCATGGCTCCCTAGTGCTCTCGGGGCAAAGTTCCAACGTGGCCCTGCAGTCGCGTCCGCCCCGCAGACCTCGCCGGCCTCGACTCGGCCTCTTTGCTGCTTCCCGCCTCGCACGGCTGCACTGGCCTTTTGGTTCCTCGAACTCGCCATGCGCCTTCCCGCTCAGGGCTTTTGCACAGGCTCACCCCTCTGCCCGTAACATCCCTTCGCCCATTCTGCCTGGCAGACTCCCATTCATTCTCCGGGGCTTGGCTGCGACGTCACTTCCTTTGCGGAGCCCTCTTTTCCTGCCCTTCCTCCTGAAATGTGCCTCTTAGGTGCTCCTGTTGGTCTCTGTTCCTTCCCTGCATGTCACGTGTGGGCTAGCGTGTTAGGAGACCTTTATGTGTGTGCTGCTTGATGATGTCTGCGACCATGAGGACAGGACTGGGTTTGTCTTTGTCATCGCTGTGCTCCTAGCACAGCGCCCATCTCACTGGAAACAGCTAATGTTCGTTGAATGAATGAAAGATATTCCTAGAGCCACTATGGGGGGTGAACTGAGTGGTCGTGTTCCCAGGTGGTGGTACTTCTCCATAAGGGAGGGAGAGAGTGAGGGGAAGACAGTGATACTGTTCCTAGAAGTAAAAGGCTGCAAACATCCCAAATGTGTGTAAATAGGAAGACTGGCTAAAAAAAAAAATCCTCTTATACATCCACATAATAGATTATTATGCAACTGTAAAAAGGAGTGAAGGAGAAAGGGGAATGAGGGAAATATCTATACACTGATATCATGGCCTGCAACATACACATTAAATGAAAACAGAGTGGGAGATAGGGTTTATTGTGTACTCACTCTTTGCAAAAGAAAGGAAAGTATGTATACATGTTTTTAGGAAACAAAGTATTAACCAAAAAGCAGGAGAGGAAAGAAAGGGTAAAAAAATTTTGGTGGATCTTGAATGTATTATCATTATGAAAAATATGGAAAGCCGGGCTTGGTGGCTCAGCCTGTAATCCTGTTCCTTGGGATGCTGAGGTGAGAGGATTGTCAGAACCCGCAGGTTCAAGACCCGCTTGGGCAACTTGGTGAGACCTCATCTCTACAATAAATCAAAAAATTCGTTGGGTGTGGTAGCACACCCCTGTAGTTCCAGCTACTTGGAAGGTGGAAGGATTGCTGGAGCCCAGCAGGTTGAGGCTGCGGGGGCCGGGAGGGGCCACTGCACTCCAGTCTGGGCAACGGAGTGAGATTCCAACATAAAAAAAAGAAAAAAATGGGAAGGTTTATTATGTTTGTTTTTAATTTTTAAAAATAAAGGCTGGGCTTGGTTGCTCAGCCTGTAATCCCAGCACTTTGGGAGGCTGAGGCCAGTGGATTGCATGAGCCCATGGGTTTGAGACCAGCCCTGGCTACTTGGCGACACGTCATCGCTACAATAAATCAAAAATTAGCCGGGCATGGTAGCATGCATAGTTCCAGCTACTTGGAAGGCTGAGGTGGAAGGATCACCGGAGACCAGCAGGTCAGTGCTGGGGTGGCCAAAAAAAAAAGATGGGGCTTTGCTGTGTTGCCTAGGCTGGTCTTGAACTTCTGGGCTCAAGCAGTCTTCCTGCCTTGGCCTCCCAAAGTGCTGGGATTACAGACGTGAGCCACCATGACCAGTCAGGTTTATTATGTTTTGAGGGGGGTTTTTTTTGAGTCGGAGTCTCACTCAGTTGCCCAGTCATGGCCACCGCAACCTCGACGTACTGGGCTCAAGTGATCTTTCGCCTCAGCCTTCCAAGTAGCTGGAACCACAGGCATATGCCACCATGCCCTGCTAATTTTTTTGATTAACTGTAGAGACCAGGTCTCACCATGTTGCTTAGTCTGGTCTCGAACCCCTGAGCTCAGGCAGTCCTCTCACCTTGGCCTCCTAAAGTGGCTTGAGCCACCGCTCCCGACTTACTATGTTTTTATCGGAATGTCAGTATGCTGGTTGTTAGGTGGCCATGATCTTTGGCTTACATGAACAGATATAGGTGGAAAAACAATTCATTTCAGACAAACGGTGCAGTGTAGTGGTAAGGAAGGAAGATTTTGCAAACCAAACTGCTGGCTCTTACTAGCTGTGTGCCTTTGGTTAGGTGACTTTACCTCTCTGCCCTTCAATTTCCTCATATGTAGACATTAAAAACAGTTCCTAACTCATGAGACTCTGTCTCCTAAAACAAAAAAAACTCAAAGAATTGGTGTCATGAGGTTTAAATGAGTTAATATGTATATTAGAATTGCACTCAGCACATATTAAATGTTCAATAAATATTGATTGTTATTTTTCTTTTTCTCTTCTTTTTTTTGAGTTGGAGTCTCACTCTGTCACCCAGACTGGAGTGCAGTGGCATGCTCACGAGCACCCAGTGTCAACCTGCTGGGCTCCGACAATCCTGCCACCTCAGCCTTCCAAGTAGCTGGAACTACAGGTGCGCGCAACCATGCCCAGCTAATTTTTTTGATTTATTGTAAAGATGAGGTCTTGCCAAGTTGCCCAGCCTGTTCTCAACCCATGGGCTCAGGCAATCTCTTCACCTCAGCCTCCCAAAGTGCTGGGATTACAGGTTTGAGCTACCACTTCTGGCCCTTTTTTTTTTTTGAGTTGGAATCTCACACTGTTACTCAGGCTGGAATGCCATGGCACACTCACAGCCACCACAGTCTCAACCTGCTGTGCTTAGGTGATTCTTCCAAGTGATGGAACTACAGGTGTGCGCCACCATGCCTGGCTAATTTTTTTATTTATTGTAGAGACAAAGTCACATCAAGTTGCCCAGGCTGGTCTCGAATCCCTGGGCTCAGGCAATCCTCTCACCTCTGGCTTCCAAAGTGCTGGTATTACAAGCCTAAGCCACCATGCCCGACCAACATTCCTTTTAAAAAAATGTGTCTTTTTCACCTACCTCAAATTATTATTTTAATTATTCCATAATAGTTTATGCAGTATTCTTCAGATCTTTCCCCATGTGCTTAAAAATAATAATTATCTGGCCTATAATCTTAGCACTTTGGGAGGCTGAGGCAGAAGGATTGCTTGAGTCCAGGAATTTAAGACTGTGGTGAGCTATGATCATGTCACTGCACTCCAGCCTGGGCAACAGAGTGAGACTTCAACTCAAAAAAAATAAATTAATAACTGTTTAATTTTTATTGTGTATACTAACTCATTTAATCCTCAGCTTATTCTTGACATGTAAGCACCATTATTATTCCTATTTTATAGACGAGGAAACTGAGACCCAGAGAAGTGAGATGTCTTGCCTCAGGTCATCTATGTATATATAACACAGAAACCTGACAAAAATAGATTGAATTACATGTGTTCTGTGGTGCAACAGACTGTCCTGGGCATCTTTTCATGGTAATGATACATTGAGACTGACCTGTATATTTTTTTTTTACCTTGTTTCCTCCCTCTTCTGGTTTTTGGTTTATCTTTTCTGTTTATTTCTTTTTTAGCATATATACATATCTCTCTTTTGTAAAAAGGGAACATATAGTAAACCACTGCCTTCCTCTTTGTTTTTTTCACTTAATATTTGTACTCCCCATCAGTGTATGGGGATTTTTCTTACTCCTTTCTGTTTCCTCCTTCATTCCTTTGTATAGGTGCATCATTTTATTATGTGTATGTATCATAGTTTTTCCAGCCAGTCTTCCTATTTGAGAAAACTTGAGTTACTTCTAGTCTTTTGTTGTTACAAATAGTGCTGTTATTGATATCCTCCTTCTACATTAATCATTTCATGATTTTGCCAATGTGACTTTGAGACAGATGACCAAAAGCCCCCTCCCTCCCTTTTAAAAAACAGCTATGTAGGCCAGGCACGGTGGCTCATGCCCATAATCCCAGCACTTTGGGAGGCCGAGGTGAGAGGATTGCCTGAACCCACGCGTTCAAGATCAGTCCCGGCAACTTGGTGAGATCTCATCTCTACAATAAATCAAAAAATTAGCCGGGCATGGTGGTGTGTGCCTGTAGTTCCA